ACTCGGTGGTCCACATCCACCTCATCGACGGCCATGGGCACGTCATTCGACTCCTCTCGTGGATCCATGTCCACTTCGTCAACAGCCGAGGGCACGTCTGCCATATTTGCCGCCCTCTCCCGAGGCACTCTCTGCAATATGCGCGTCCAATCCTCGGCCTTCTTTATGTGACGAAATCATAGACGGAGCCATCTGAACTTTCACACGTCGTGTGGTGCCAAGTTCCTCGAGGTTGACAGTCCTGCACTGGATGCCAAAAAAATTTGGGCAGCGTTGACCCTTAGGCAAGTGCAGCACTATCAATCCCAGTCGACGGAACCGGGCACCACACTGGTCTCAACAGGATGGACTTTCGTTGGAAAGCCCTCACCTGCTAGCAGTGCGTTAAATTAGCGACCACTCGAGGCAGTGCCAAGGGATCGCTAACGGCAGCAAAATGGGACGAAAAAAAACAAGTAAGTTTAAGCGTCCCGCCTTTCCTTGCACTTCTGTAGAATCACGAACGTTGGCTTGGCCCCCAAGTTGAGTACCCTTAGTTCTAAAAGAACCAGATAGATACGGCTCCACCGTTCGTGATCGTACAGTAGACACAAAGAGAATGGCAATGTTTTATTAAAAAAAGAACGCACGAACAAAAAAAAATTACAACTCCAGTGATCAGCGAAGCACTAATGAGACACGGTAAAAAAAAGAGAATCAATCAATTACGGGCAGGCTGTCCTGCCCCCGCTCCGGCTAAGACACAAAAAAAAGTATGGCGAATTCAAAGAAGATGTGCCCAGTATTGGGCAGATGTGGTGATCAAGAGACACACAAAAAAAAGACGATCAATCGCAGACGAGCAGTTTGGTCGGTTGGCAATACGCCGACTACACACGGGGTCGGCCCCTCTTATAGGTCCTTTCCCGCCCTTTCCCGCGCGTTCACAATAGGGCGGCGCTGTGCGTGGTCAATGACCTACCTAAACATCAATGGATACATTAAAAAAACGGTAAGTAGACATTCAGTTTTACGTGGCACTTTCACTCTACATGCCTCCCCGCACCCGCAGATCTGTCCTCAGATCTGTTTTTGAGAGCCATGTTCTCTATTCCTTTCACAATTTGCCTCTGACGGTTCCGGTCCTGTCGGCGCTCAATTCTTTTCAGATGCCTCTTAGAAATCCTTCCATCTCTCAGTGGCGGTCTTCCGCTGCTCGACTGTCCTGGCACCGGTCCTCCAGGCGCCCTCATCGATCTCGGCATCTTCAACGGCTCCAACTGAACCCCATGGGTTTCCATTTGTCTGACCAGGTGACCGTAGAATTCAAGTGCCTGCGGGGCTTCCCACCATTTTCGATGGTCTTGGACCACTCCAACTCGCAAGCAGGCCATCGAGGCCCTCCAGACTCCCATCTCTTCAGGCAGAAGGTCGTGCCACTGCTCCACGAATCCCGCATGTTCGTTCAAGTAGCCGAGTATATGGCTCCGGGCTTTCTCGTTCATTCGATTCCAGCTCCCATCGTCGTACGAGCGGGGACCATTCACCATCCATACCTGTGCACCACACGATAACCACAAGTCTATCGCTGCTGTGAATGGAATCCAAGAAAAACTATCGTCCGGTTCCTTGGGCGGCATGACGAACACGACGTTTCCGACTTCGTCGGCGAACAATATATTGTTATTGCGCTTGATTTCGTGGAATGACCGATAGTAGAACATCGTCGTTCTGGGACCCTTTAGGCAGAACGTCAGCCTCCTCAAAACCTCTGGAACCAAGATGACAACTCTCGAGTGCTCGTTGGCGGACATGATTTTCTGTGATACGTCGGACCACTCCATCGTTCTTGAAAGGTGCCAGCCATACTGTATGATGCGGTTCGTATCCCAGGGCCACCCGGACAGCGTCGTATGATTGAAACGTGCCTCCTGCGGCACGAGACCACTCATAATAGCCACATGCGAGCATCGACTACGGAAGAACGAGTAAGCGACTGCTACTGCCTTGGGGTGTAGAGCCAGATAACTGCTATCGGCTATCCTCTGAGCTTTGCACATGATCGAACCGGGACCCCACCAGATTGCGAGTACCCTTGCTGCGTCCAGCACACACTGCACTCTTTCGGCCGAAGCTGGAGGTGGAACAGATGGTATGAGATCACTGACTGTAGTCTTCTGGCTACAGCGACATCGCGACAAATCGAATCCGGGTCTTCCATCCACACTCGGAAAGCTCTGACCATCGCATTTAAATCTCACATGCAAGAAGTGCATCGTACTGTCGACGTCATAGTCGTTCTCCAGCCTGAAAGAAGCATTTCTGAGAAGTGATACGTTTGCGCATGTAATACTTTGCACTCTGCCTCTATTTCTCTGCACTCTTTTCCTTTTCGTTTGAGTTTTCACTGCTTTATCCTCAATTTCTTTAGGACATTGCATTATAAGGTCGAACTGGACTCTTAATGGCTCTTCATTCCCATCTAACATGGTAACTAAGGCCGAATTTTCACTACATTCCAGCACTCGATACGGCCCATTCCACTCACAAACTAACTTCGGATGCCTGGAATTAGCACGTTCCCTCGGCATTTTTACGAAAACTCTGTCTCCAATCTTAGGAGTGTAATGCTTATCACTACCTTTTGTGCGATCATAGTATCTCTTCATGTTCTCTCTATACTTCGCAGCATGTTCTTGTACTTCTTCTCTTATAAGCTGCATGCCTCGCACTAGCTCTTCTTTATATTCATCGAGGTCAATCCTACTTAACTTAAGTTTAGATTGTGGTATTGTGACGGATGGAATTGTGGGGTCGAACCCATGCAACAAAAAGAAAGGGCTCTCACCCGTTGCCGAATGAGGGGTCACATTATATGCGTATACTGCGTTGGGTAGCAAGACATCCCAGTAGTCTGGAAATTCTATCTTTTTCTTTAGTATACGCTGTATTGTTCCTATAGCTCGCTCTGCCATACCGTTCTCACGTGAGTTGTAACCTTTTGTCACGGTATGTGTTATCCCCGAAATCTTTGCGAGCTCTTCCACGACATTATTCAAGAACTCTGACCCTTGGTCTGTGTGCAGCTGCTTCGGCCACCGACCACCCTCACAAATCCACCTTTGAAAAATGACGTGAGCTATTGTGTTAGCGGCCTTATCCTTTATGGCGTACGCTCCCAACCACTTGGTAAAGTGGTCTACCAACAGCAGGACGTACTTGTATCCATTGGCACTTAAGCCCATTTCAAGCACGTCAGCACATACACACTCGAATGGTTTGCCTACTAAAAAGGGCTTCAAGGCTGGAGTATTACTCGCTCTGGGGTTGGACAGCAAACACTTTGCGCACCCTTTTACCCAGGTAGTAATGTCTTTCTCCATTCGTTGGCCAGAATACTCGCTTCTTCAGGGTTCTAAAAATTTTCCTAGCCGAAAAATGACCAGCTAAACATCCCTCATGTGCCTCCTCGAACACTTCCTTACGCTTCGACGTTGGCACCACATGAACAGTACTACCGTCCTCCTGAATGAGTTTGAGCTCTCCTTCTTCCAAGACAAAGTCTGCTATTTTGAGTTTCTTTCCGTATCCGGGCAGCCTTACTTCTCTTTCCATTTCGTTGCCTTCCAGATACCGCAATATATTGCCGAAATCTTTGTCACTCTCGAGCTCCTTACGCCATTCGGAGATGGTTTCATCCTCTATTACGCAGACGATCTTGTCCTCGCCAGGATTCCTCAGTTCTTCCGTCGCTCCGTCTATCGGTATGCCTCTTGATAAAGCGTCGGCAACCGCATTCGCCTTACCTTTGACATATTCGATGCTTATCTTGTACTGTTGGACTTCCAAAGCCCATCTCAATACTCTGGCTGAAACGTTGTTCCTACGGAATAAAGCTGTCAACGGCAGGTGATCAGTTCTCACTACTACCTGCATTCCGTATATAAAATAATGAAACTTTCGAAGAGCGAAAACCATTGCGAGGGCTTCTAGGTCTGTGATATGGTAATTTTGTTCTGCACGTGACAATTTCTTTGAGGCGAAGAAGATCGGATGTAAAAACTTGTCTTGGCCTTCTTGAGACAGTACTGCCCCTATACCTTGGTAAGAAGCATCAGTGTATATGATATACGGACGCTCTCCCCTCTGAGCTGCCTCCACATCTGGCTGTGCCAACACAGGCGCCTTTATCAGGCAGTCCTTCAAGTGGCGAAAGGCGTCTTCATGTTCATTTTCCCACGTCCACATTACCTTTTTACTTGTCAGTTCAAATAAGGGACGGGCAATTTTGGAAAATCCGAGAATAAACTTCCTATAATAACTGCACATTCCTAGGAAAGTCCGAATTTCCGGTAATCCTGTAGGCCTAGGATAGTTCTGAATCTTTTCTACCTTTGCAGGGTCCACTCTCACTCCGTCTCCTGCGATCTCATGCCCGAGAAACTTAACACTATTCCTCATTAGCACACATTTCTGTGGTTTTAGTCTAAGGTTAGCTGCCCTCAGCGCTTCCAATACCATTTTCAAGACCTCCAGATGCCGTTCTTTGTTTTCGTTGCTATGAGGATGTCATCTATATATACAAACACTTCCTTGTCCCGCAGAACACCGAGCACCTTATCCATCAGCCTTTGAAAACGAGAAGGCGATGTGCATAGACCAAACGGCAGTACTTTGAACTGGAATAGTCCCTCTGACGTGGTGAAAGCACTCTTTCTCTTGGCACCGGCGATGCCCAGTCTGACTCTGATTCCTCTATGATACCGCGATCCAGTAGTTCTCTAATCATTCCTTTGAACTCGGCACGAGCTCCTATGGGTACGGGCCTAGTCTTCTGTCGAATGGGAGCTGTATTGCCTGTATCGACTTCATGGACTACTAAGTTTGTTTGCGCTAATTCACGATCCTCAACCGCGAACACATCGTTGTACTCGTCAATCAGCCTCCACAGCTCAGGCTCATCAGATGCTCCAAGCTCTCTGTTGCTTCTCAGGTACTCGTTGAGCACTTGTTTCCTCTCCTCAGCTTGCAGTGTCGGTTTCCCTAACACCAGCATATCTGTTGGCACTTCTGTCGCAATTACTTTGGAATACTCGACCTCGTTTTCCTCCCAGGCACCTACTTCTTGACGTACTTTCAGTACTAGGGGCTCTGTCGACACATTCCACACCGGGATTTCTGCCACGCCTGCTTCGTCTACAGTGCACAGCCCTGAACGAATCCACTTGCAGCTAGAATGGAATACGCGTTCTGTATCCCGTGCCCCACCTTTTATTGTTACCCATTTGAGTTCACCTGGGGCTACATAGGCTCTCTTACACACCGTAGCTTTATCTAGGCCCCGCACTACGTTTGCCTTTCCTTGCCGATCCTCTCCGTTCGGCAACCGAACAAGCGTATAGTTCAAAGCTTGTAAGGCGTTTGTCCCCAAGACAAGCAGATGGCCCTTTTCTACAGACACATGCATTTGAAGAATTATCTCTCCTTCGCTGCCTTCCTTTAAAGGGACTTCGACTATTTTCCTAAATTTCATCGGGTTTCCAGATGCATCCAGAATCTTTTTATTCTGGTCGACAGGATATTCCCTCAATCGACGACCTTTACTCTCAATTTGTTGCAATACTTTAAGTGGAAGTATCGAAATTTCAGAACCGGTGTCGAGCAGCGCAGGCCAAACTTTTCCAAAGACAGTCACTTTGGTGGTGGACTTCTCTCCAAATGGTGATACCACCCCTGATTGCTGTCCGGTCATGTCCTTGGTGCACCGAGCGGTACTTGTTTCCACGTCAGTAGCTTTACTTCCAACGTCGCTTCCCCTTTTGCAGTCTCTGGCCATATGTCCTCTGCCCTTACAGTTGAAGCATTGTATCTGGCCCTTTATAGGTCTGACACGAGACTCGGATTGATCCGTGGGCCCCGTCACCTTCTCCCGCATGTCACTGTTCGCTTCCCTACGGTCAGTCTTGCGCAGGGCTGCTCCATCACTGCCACTTCGAAACGACCGCGAATACTTAATATTACGCCGTTTGGTTTCCGTTTCTTGCTCGTGCTGATCCTTGGTACACTCCACCATCAGCTTTCTTCTTTCTACTCGCAAAACCGCTTCTTTCAAATTGTTGTACGCATCTTTACCACTTGTCTCCATGGCTTCCAGAAAATACACTGACTCTGGCCAATGAACGACCTGCTCGTATAGCTGCTGAGCTCTTGCCGTCATTAGCGCTCCCTCATCTAGTTCGGGGTATGCTATCGCTGACAGCCTTTCCAACTGAACGCAGTATTCTGCTACAGACTGCTCGTCGCTTTTTCTCAACCTTCTTAGCTTTCCTAGCGCGACGACCCTGCTAGTCTGTGCCTCCACCTTGTAGGCATCCGCCAATGCTGCTACCAATCCCTCAAACGGTCCTTGCTTCACATTTTTGGGTAACGCCTCATATCTCACTTTTGCTTGACCACTCAGTTTTGATTTTAGCAAAGTTTTTAACTCTTCATTAGACCAGTTCTGAGTTGGATATTTTAGGCCAAACGACTCAATGAAATTATTCCATGAATAATCTTTGTCTTTTCCAGAGAACGTTCGAACTTCTGGCAGCGCAACATATTTTAAATACGCTCCTAACTGGTTCTCTACGAGTGAGCTAGACTCCTGGCTGCTACGTCGGCTCAACGCCTCACTACGACGGCTCAACGCCTCACTCACGCAGCTTTCATTCTCACTCACTTCGCCCTCACTCAGCAAAGTTAAGGACTCACCGGGCCTCCTCGGCGTCCTCCCTGAGAATCGCCTGTATTCGCTCGCAGTCAATCTTCTCGATCCTGGCTGCCTGTCTCGCCCAGCCTGAAAATTAAGTTGACTTGAGCTAATTTCGTGCTTTAGTCTTTTCAATGCGTCTACGTCAACGCTAGACGCCTTTTTGTGGGCCTTACCTGGTAGCCCGTCCTTCGTGCCGCCTTTATTGGGCTCGTTCTTCTGCGACCTTATCAGGTCCAGTTCCCTTCGTGCCATCTCCAGTTGCCGCTGCAACAGCACTACTTCTTTCTCCTTCTCTAACAGCTTTATCAATCTCTTTTTAAGCTGCGTGCAATTCTCTAGCACATCATCACGCGCCCAACCTGTGCACTTTTCAATGTCCTTCGTTATGGCTGCCTCTACCGCTAGCTCCTCAACTGCTTCCACTAGCTCTAGCTGGGTAGTACAACCTAAGGATGTCATCAGTTTCTTAAAACCGACCCTCTCCCTTTCATTTTCTGCACACATCTGCTTTAGGTCTCTAAGTTCCCGCTCTACCTCGTTAACCGCGGATCTCACGACCCTTTCACAGCTGTCTCTTTTCGTGTCTCCTATTCGCCAGCACTTCGCTATTTCAGCACCAACCAATACTTCTACATTTTTTAGGCTCTTCAAAGCATGATCACAAACCTTTAGCTCATTCAGCTCTTCTCGGTGGTCCACATCCACCTCATCGACTGCCATGGGCACGTCATTCGACTCCTCTCGTGGACCCAAGTCCAATTCGTCAACAGCCGAGGGCACGTCTGCCATATTTCCGCCTTCTCTCGAGGCACTCTCTGAAATATGCGCGTCCAATCTTCGGCCTTCTTTATGTGACGAAATCATAGACGGAGCCATCGTGAACTTTCACACGTCGTGTGGTGCCAAGTTCCCTCGAGGTTGACAGTCCTGCACTGGTGCCAAAAAAAAATTTGGGCAGCGTTGACCCTTAGGCAAGTGCAGCACTATCAATCCCAGTCGACGGAACCGGGCACCACACTGGTCTCAACAGGATGGACTTTCGTTGGAAAGCCCTCACCTGCTAGCAGTGCGTTAAATTAGCGACCACTCGAGGCAGTGCCAAGGGATCGCTAACGGCAGCAAAATGGGACGAAAAAAAACAAGTAAGTTTAAGCGTCCCGCCTTTCCTTGCACTTCTGTAGAATCACGAACGTTGGCTTGGCCCCCAAGTTGAGTACCCTTAGTTCTAAAAGAACCAGATAGATACGGCTCCACCGTTCGTGATCGTACAGTAGACACAAAGAGAATGGCAATGTTTTATTAAAAAAAACGCAAACACAAAAAAAATTACAACTCCAGTGATCAGCGAAGCACTAATGAGACACGGTAAAAAAAGAGAATCAATCAATTACGGGCAGGCTGTCCTGCCCCCGCTCCGGCTAAGACACAAAAAAAAGTATGGCGAATTCAAAGAAGATGTGCCCAGTATTGGGCAGATGTGGTGATCAAGAGACACACAAAAAAAAGACGATCAATCGCAGACGAGCAGTTTGGTCGGTTGGCAATACGCCGACTACACACGGGGTCGGCCCCTCTTATAGGTCCTTTCCCGCCCTTTCCCGCGCGTTCACAATAGGGCGGCGCTGTGCGTGGTCAATGACCTACCTAAACATCAATGGATACATTAAAAAAACGGTAAGTAGACATTCAGTTTTACGTGGCACTTTCACTCTACAATACCTCCCCGCACCTCGCGAGCTCGTAGAAATTAGCGTATACAATTAGAAGCAAAGAAAAACAAACATGGGAAAGGAATACACTCCACAACACAGATGATCCGTTTCGCTCGGTATCGCAGACGAATCATCATTGTCTAGCCAACCCCCGAGCTCATCAGTGCGATAGGTTGAAGACAAGAGGACATAGACTACATAGGGGAAGGTGTGAGAAATAGGACAAAAGAGAGAGATTGTAAAAAAGGGGGTAACATGCAAAGTTCATGCATCAAGATGATGATGAATTATACTATAATACGAAGTGTGCTGTAAATACTTGTGGAAGGAAGGGAAAAGGAGTAAACCGGCAAAACCACTGAGAGAATGTTGAGTATAAGAGAAGGTATACCAGAAATAAATCAATTAAAGTATAGTGGAAAGAAGGGAATTAGTGTTGATCACTGCTGCAAATGAGTAAACCTGTGACTAGTCTATTTATCTTTCTATAGTTATTTGCGATTGAGTACTTGTAACTTATAAATTTATTTTTATAAATACACTTAACAATGCTAGTAATAATAAAATCTTCCTCGTAGCCATTTTTCAAAAGAGTGGTGACCATATCCGTTATTTTGCTAACGAAAGCGTTGAAGAACGAACAAGTGTTCGCTAACCTCAAAGTTTCCGTATATATAACAGAGGATTTGTTGATAAGAGAGATATTTGTGTCCCTATACGGAAATCTGATAACACTGAAGGTAAAATCATCCGTTTTATTATACAGCTTGGTACTAATTTTACCGTTAATGATATTAATTGTTAAATCTAAATAATTACTAGAAACCTCACTATTATGAGTTTTTTTCAACTGAAGGGTATTTTGATAAACTTGAGAAAGTAGTTCATCCACATCATCATCAGTTTGGTTGTGAACAACAAGCAAATCATCCATATATCTATATGGGATGAACAGCTTAGTTTTATTAAACTTTTTAGATTTAGCATAGTCATATTCCATGACAGAAAGCGTAAGATCTGCTAGTAGTGGACTGAAATTGCCACCTTGTGGGACACCTTTAGTCTGTTTGAACGTATTATTAGCAAAAAGACAAAAGCTGTTACGTAAAAGATAGTCAATAAAGTATACTAAATCGCTGGATTTGTAATATCTGTAGTTGTTCTTGATTTCTTTACCATCTGTATAGAAAACATGGTAACCATTAGTGGCAATAAAGGATCTGTTGGCATTTTTGAAGCAAATGTTAAGGAGTTCCTGCATTTTCTTAAGAATAAGATCATGCTCTAAATTTGTGAACATGTCAGTGAAATCTGCTGTGTAAATTTTGAGATTGTCGAACGTGATGTTGTGTAGTTCGTGACTTATATTAATATTACTTATAGACCAGTATGTCTTGATAGTCCTGTTGCGATTCCGAATTGCTTTAGCGTAGTTTATGAAGTGATTTTTAAGATGTGTAAAGATTATGCGTAATTCCTGAGCCAGTGGTTTAATACTACTGCTATGTGCACCTGTGATGTACCTGAATTTAACTGGGTTCTTATGTAGCTTTGGTAAGGCATATATAGTAGGTATAATATTTCCCCTGCATTCCAATGGATATATGATATTATTATTTATATATTATTAAATGAAATATTATGCTATTTTGAAGACTCAGGCGTAAGGGCGATTGATGCGCAAAAGAGTGGAGGGGTATCGTCCAGCGCTGGGCGCTACCTTTTACGGAGATTCGGCGATACGGCGATTTGAGAGACCCGGCGATTTCGCGTTCTGAATGACATCAATACCCATGCGCTCCTTCGGCGCAATAGCTGGAACCGAGTCTATCATGAATTAGCCGGATCCTCACTCTCCGACAAATCTTGCAGGTACCTGTACTTTTTTCATTGTGCTGTTCTTCTGGAATTACGAGTCTCCCAAATCTCCTCAATCGCAAAGCAATCGAGGATGTGGCTACTGATAGAAGACGTTTTCATGAATCACAAGATGGCACCCTTGGACTATTAAACCCAGTGGTCGAGTGCGTTCGGCATAACTGAAGCCGTAATGAAGGTGCTGCGTACTTTGCTTGGTGACCTTAAAGAAGCGCCCGCGATGGACATTTGCACAGTTTTTCAGGGGTCAACATTTGCAAGAACAGGTGGCCAATGAAGCACTAATCAAAAAAAGCAGGAAAAAGGTGTAGAAGAGCGTGAAATAAGACCCTATGAAATTTAAGGCATGTGGACGAGTTTCGCAAACTTCTGGTGAGTTCTCCAATACACGTCGCCGCCTCGGAGCTCTAGAAATTCAGCGTATATCAATGCCAGCAAGCATTGACAACTGTTAACCAATCGGGGCGGGATTAACAGGAAAGGAGGCGTCAGCTCAGCGTTGTTGACTCCGCCCTCGTCAACCAATCGATTTCGAGCCGCGAGAGTCGGATCTCCGCTGCGGTTGCGGACTCCGCGTTCGTTTTCAATGCAGAGTTTTTTCACAATGGTTGATACGTCGCACGCTGGCCTTAAGGCAGCGTTCATAGTTCGCGACAGCAAGCGCGTGCGATGCCGCCCGATCGTCGCTGCATGAGCGCGCGCATCACACGCTATTACTTGCGCTCTACGAATGGTTCTGATGGAACGCGCTCAAATTTTGTGCTGCTTATTTTTTTCTTCAATCGTCGAATTTCTTAGTAGTCGAAGTTGGTTTGGCACAAGGGAGGTGAGCCCAGACTTAATCGCTTTTGTTTTCTATTTTCTTTCTTATTTAGGATAGAAATGAGCAAAAGGCGCTAGAGCTTCACTTAAGGTACGTTTTTATTGCTTCTTTTTTCATTCGTCGAGGTTGTACATGAGGTTTATGAAGTTTTCACCTGTTGATGTCGCGTAAAATGATTAGTGCTTTGGTTCCTAGGAGAGTTTCTTTCTTTTTTTTTTTCTTCGTTGTTTGAACTCGACTTGTAAACTATGAATGTTTTGGAAGTTGGAACAGCAGACGATAGGAATTCCTGAGGCGCATGCATAAGTTGAAACAATAAAAACAAAAAAAGAAGCTCACCCAGGAAATGGAGTTGGTCTTACCCCGACCTAAAAGGAAGTGAAACCTTCTTACCTCATATTCCAGATCTGCTTATGTGTAGAAAGTCGTAGCTTATCTGTTAGTAGCCCTTATTAAGAAAGAAGGTCTTACAAGTTGAATTCCCTTATTCATCAGGCGAGCATCCACAATAGCGTTGGGGCGCGCGCTGCCATGCACCGACGATCGCGGCGATCGCCGCTGCTGTCGCGAACTATGAACGCTGCCTAATGCAACTATACTTCCTATTAATATTCGGCTGAGAAGTTCAGTGTAATTCAGTGCTGGGCATTTGTCGAAGTACATATTGGCACTGTAATCATGTTTTCTTCGTAACCATTCATTGCGAGCTATCGAATAGTGACATGTGTTCTAACTGAGTGGTATCATCATACTGAATTTGTGCAGGAGTTGGTTTAAAACTTATACAGCACTTTGCACTCCTCTTATTTTGGCTTTCTATGGCTCCGCTGGATTTTTTCATGTGGTCGTAAAATTTGGGATTGCGTTCATACTTTCCGTCAGCGTCCTGAGCATTTTGGTAAGAAATGCCTGCGTTTTGAGCAGAGAAGGAACATAGTTGTCCATCTACCGCCTCCATATCGGTAACTATTCTTCCCGTTGCGAATAAAACGCTCGAAACGCTGGTGAAAAGCATGAACGCCGCCTTATATGTGCGAGACACTTTGATTACTTTCTAAGTTTCACGGTCAGTTTTCTTCCTCAGGTAATAATGGCGGATGAAAAATACGATGCAGTTCTTTTTTCACTGGCGCAACAGTTGCCCGGAGGTGTCCCGGAATTTTTCGATGTTCTATTCAGCTTTTTGGCAAGGTACGTACATTGTTATAGGTATTGTCAAGGTGGAACATAACATATATCATATCATATTGAGCACTTTACTCCTAATTAAGAAATTCTGTTCCTCAGCTCTTTCAAGCGCATCTTGATAGATCATGCTGCGTTCCTACTTTGCGCACGGCACCGCCAGCGACTAGAAAAAGATAGGTATCGATCAAGCATTCCGAGCGTCCACCTGCGTATGTCAGTGTACGGCAGCGTTTCGAGTGACTAGCAAAGTTCAGGGATTGATATGGCGTACTTCA